AAAACTACTACTTACTACTTGTACTATTATTCCTACTTTGCGGTTTTTCACTTGTGGCAGGACTTCAGGGTACGGGTCTCCCGCAATAAACGAGGGACTAATGTAACCTTAAAAATAATTAATGAGCAATCTCGAGCAATATTGCATGATGTCAAATGACCAGTTAGTGCTTGTGGTAGGTGTCGTGAATGATCTTCAGCTACTACCACACCAAAATTTAGCTCAGTACCTGTAAAATTAGCTGAGCTACAGCCGTTTTTGTGTTTGCTGTGCTTGCTTAGCTGTGGTGGCCATCTTAAATGGGATTGACTCCAAGAGTTAACCAGTTCCAATAATTACTTCAGGGGGTTTCATTTAAATCCATCCAGTGGGTCATTAGATATTTTGCTAACATAACAGACACACGCACGGACGAAAACATTTAGCTGACAAATATCAGTGGCTCCTTATGTCAAAGCGTTTTCACTGTTTTTGATATATCATCTCGAAACCTCATCAGCAGATTATGACCCTAGAATAGGTTGATGTGTTGATACACCACCCAAAAATATGTTAAAGTCAAAGTTTTTTTACTCATTCCTTGTATTATCTCAAAGGCTCTGGCACCAGCAAGTCTGCAGCACAATTTGTATGAATTATCCCAACTACAGGTACAAAGAACTCTGTTCGGCATGGAGACATCGTCTTTTAAGCTTCAAACCTGAACCAACACAATCAATAAATGAACAGACTGTTGGATTTCCAGTCTCGCCTCCTCCGTTTTCCTTTTGAAAGATCCAGCGTTGAACCTAAAATGACCACTGTAATTAAAACACCTTTTCAGGGACACCACCAAGTCATTGGTTCAGGTATGTTGACGACACCTGGGTTAAAATCAAATCTCAGAAAGTCCAACATTTTACTGACCACATCAACTCTGTGGATAAATACATCAAGTTCACACGAGAAGATGTAAGAAATGGCAGGTTGGCTTTCTTGGACTGTGAGGTCTCAGTCTCTGATAGAGGACATTTGCAAACTGAGGTGTACCGCAAACCCACCCACACAGACCAGTATTTGCAGTTTGACTCCCATCACCCTTTGAAGCACAAGTTAGGAGTCATCAGGACTCTGTACCACACAGCAGACAGCGTCCCCACTAGCTCGGGAGCCAGGCAGAAGGAGAAATCCCACACAAGACAGGCTCAAGAGCAATGTGGATATCCTAACTGGGCCTTCCTGAAAGCAGAGAAGAAACCCAAACAGGACTCCAGTCAGCCAACAGGTGAAAAGGAGGAACCCAGACCCAGACCAGTGGTCATTCCATATGTTGAGGGAGTATCAGAGAAACTGAGACGTTTATTTTCTAAACATAATGTCCCAGTGGCTTTTAAACCCCAAAATACATTACGGCAAAGACTGGTTCATCCCAAAGATCCAGTCCCCCGGCACAAACAGAGTAATGTTGTGTATGCTGTTCAGTGTCAGGAGGGCTGTGATCAGTCTTACATCGGGGAAACTAAACAGCCCCTGGCCAAAAGGATGGCCCAGCACAGAAGATCAACATCATCAGGCCAGGACTCTGCGGTCTACACTCATCTCCAGGCCAGCGGTCACTCTTTCAGGGATGAAGATGTTCACATCCTGGACAGAGAGGAACGATGGTTTGAGAGAGGAGTAAAGGAGGCCATCTTTGTGAAAAGAAACCGTCCATCATTAAATGAGTGGAGGCGTCTGTGTTCAACTGTCCACCTCTTACAATGCTGTGATTGCTAGTATCACTCAGCCCTCTGTGAGTAGTAAACAGCCATCAGTGTGCTAATGATCCATTGTTAGGCTGATGGTCCTTCTTGATCATGTGAGCAGCTGGTTTTGGTCGTCAGCAGCAAAACTGGTTGATCCACTCTGAGAAGGTGCTATTTAAGAGACTGAGCTGAAAACAGCACCTCAGAGTGAGGAAGTCTTTCGGATGAAAGACGAAACGTTTCTACAATTTTTTGTTTTGTTTTTTGAATGTCCAGAGGACCAGATTTAACTTTTTTAGATTTTTCTACCTTGATTATTGAGCATGCATCAGGATAAAACACCTTTTGTTGCAAAGCCCACAGGAGATCTTTAGCTACTGATAATAAGTGAGCTATTCCAACTTTAAAAGAAAAAAGCTGGGCTTAACCCGAGCCCAGGTGGCATTACAGGCCACCATTCTTGATACAGCTCCGATTCTGGTATTTCTGAACTCCAGGTGTTTGTGACCAAGTGACCATCAAGCCGTGCAGCCACATTTTGAGCAGCCAATTTATGAAAAGCATATTCTGCTGTGGGGCAGCACGGTGGCACAACTGGTAGAGCTGCTGCCTCTCAGCGAACAGGTCCCTGGTTCAAACCCCGGTCCAGGGGCCTTCTGGGTGGAGTTTGCATGTTCTCTCCGTGCATGCGTGGGTTTTCTCCGGGTACTCCGGTTTCCTCCCACAGACCAAAACATGCATGTTAGGCTGATTGGTAACTCTAAATTGTCCCTAGGTGTGAGTGAGAGTACATGGTTGTTTGTCTCTATGTGTCCCTGTGATGGACTTGCGACCCGTCCAGGGTGTACCCCGCCCCTCGCACAGTGATTGCTGGACATGGGCACCAGCGACCCCCGTGACCCAAAATGGAATAAACGGGTAAAGATAATGGATGGATGGATGGATGGATATTCTGCTGTCACGTGTATGGCTTGCATATACATTTTTGACCATGTACATTATTTTGTTGACCACCTCCATCCACATCATACCTGCCTTGGCAGCTGCACCCTTGTTCGTGATTTAATCTAAGCATGTCTGAAATAACGGCAGGCAGATCAGAACCAGTTTTGCATCTTAAACGGCACCCTCGAACCAGGGTTGGCGCTACAGGTTTAGCCAGTTCACCTGTTTATTTTACTGTAGATATGAACAGAAACTGGTAAGTGTGTACTACTGCTTTCTGATGCCTGTTTCAATGGGTTGGAGAACTTCATAACTTTTGTGGTAGTATGGGTTAGGAACCACTACCCCAAGGGCATGTGTTACGTCAGCACCAACATTTGGAGAGGGGCAGTTATTGTAATTCTTGCAGCACAAACCACTTCTTATTGCCTTCATAGACAGGTGTCTTGACATTTTTTGGTATAGGATAAATATATAATTCATAAGTCATTGTCATCATGATCCCAATGAAATAAAAGTGGCCCAAACTATTAAAACAACACCACATTTTGGATGGTGTTATTGTGCTAAGATTGCGTTTTCTTTCAAAAGATGTATATTTTCATAAAATATCTTTATATTAGCGTTACTGGTTAATATGTCAGAAACACAATATAAAAAGGGGCTTTTCAGATGCCTCACACATTATGATACAATTTAGCTCTTGGAGTGCTTTTTGTTTGTCGACTGCTCCTGGGGAGAAAAACAATAGTGTAGAACTTCCTCTGTTTGTAGAAAGCTTATCGGACTGTGGACTAAAGGGCTCGAAATCCTTTAAGGTTTGTGAACTTTTCCAGCCCAAAGAGCCGAGAAAAGTTCTTTTTCTGAGGTCTTAAGAAATGTTCTTTGTTTGCAGGGATACACAAACACAAGCGGTCTTTGCCAGATTTTGTTCCTAAAACAAAGCAGGATGTTCAAATCCTCTCGTCATCATCAAAAAAACATACATCTATAATTTTACTAAAAAACAAACCGCATCAAAAAACGCTCGCATACTTCATTAAACATTTTCTTCAGACAGACATTTATTTTGAGCATAACCCATTGCACTACATCTGTGTTCAAAGCCTTGGCATTAAGTGTTGGTGTTACCCTTGTGTGTCTGTTAGCCATACAATAGTCCCTCGATAATTCGCAGTTCGACTTTTGTGGACTCGCTTTTTTGCGATTTTTCGAAGTAAGAGTGGACATGACACACAAATGGCTGATTGATGGATGAGCCACATGATCAGCATGGATTGTTTTGTTTAATATATTATTTTAAATGATATAGCATCTGCTAAATCATGAGGTGCAGGGAGAAGCTCCCTCTGCAGCCTGTCATGATCTCCGCTCTCTGCCACGCCCACATTTCTCCTCTGTGCTACAGTGGCTTCGTGAAGGGTTAACCCTTTGCTGTCCAGCTGCACCAATCCACTTTTGTCGTCCAACTTAAAATTCAAAGTATGTCACATTGTAAAATCGTCATAATCACAAAATATAAAAGTGTAAAAAAGTTGTTTTAAATTATTTTAGAACTTCTATTTTCAGTTGTTACAGTGTAACTGATCAAGAAGCACATTTTGCTCCGTGCTGCATCAGTTGCGTAAAGGGTTAACCCTTTGCTGTCCTGCTGCACTTCTCTTCTCTACAATTTAAATTTAAATACCGTAACATTTTAAATAGACAATCCATGGTGCATGTGTTGTTTATTTAAAATATTACAGTATTTAAATTTAAATTGTTTATTTACACAGAGGGAGATTGGGAGTGAGACTTAAACTTGGACTACTGTATCCTTACTTCACGGTTTTTCACTTATCGCAGGGGGCGTGGTCCCCTAAACCCCATGATAACATTATTTTAAGGTTTAAATGGCTCCAATTCCTTCATTTGTCACTCCTAGAAGACAACAACGAACCACACTTTTATTAATCTGGGTGCATTAGCCAAAACATTTCAAGTAAGGAAGATAGTGTAACAGTTTTCCCTCACTGATTTGAATAAACATTAAAATTAATGTTGTACTGTTGTGTGGGTTTGACTCACTTGTTTTCCGTGACTGCTTTCTCCAGACGACTGAACATGTCGTGGAACAGGATGCAGCTGGACTTGCTGTTTATGTCAAACCCATAGCCTCGTTTCCAGAACTGCTTCAGGTCAATGAAGTACTCCATAACCTGTTGAAGCAGATGTTTCAGGCTTAACTCGTCTGTGTACCAGACATGTTTCTTGGCTAGATATAAATGGTAAAAATTGTTAAGGTCAATGAGTTTTAGTCACCATTTCATGCAAAACACAGAGCTGGTATTTAGGGACAATTTTTATGTTGTGAAAGAGAAAACTGAGAAGTTTACAACTTCGCTGTTAAGTCATGTTTTTTGTTTGTTTGTTTGTTTGTTTCTTCCTGGTTTAACCCCCCTTCTGCCCTTGGGTCAAAATGATCCCAGAGGCCTCTGTTTTAAATTATAGTCATACCGAGGGGGTCAGTTTGACCCAAGGGCAGCTGAAGGGTTAATTTAATTTTTACTGGTTTGGCTTTTCAATTTTAAATTGAAAGCTCTTAAGCCTGAACGGATCTTTGATTCCTCATTTGAGTTGATAGTGCTGATTGTTCTGTTATTTTCTGAATGAAGCTATTTATTTTGCTTAATCCTATGTTTTCTTTCCCTGGATCTATATTTAATTAATATCTTATTCCTCCCCCACTCCCCTCCCTCACAGTTTAGGGTAAATTTAAATTAATATCGTCATATCTTTGCATTATAAGGAAGCGTAAATAAACAGACTTGGCACGTTAAAAAAAAGCTAAAGATGCAGATGGTCGTGTACCTGAGCGTCGACCTTGTCAAACAGCCGACACCATGGGGAGTTCACCGTCCTTATGGCAAACTCATATGCACATAAGTAGAGCGCAGCTTCTGCCATATCTGGAGGAGCAAGAACGGAACAAAGACCTCTAAATATTACTTTATTTTGTACAATAAACTTTTTTAACTTGCTGAAATGAAACCATGCCAGACTATAATGTCTCTAAAAAGGAATTATTTCAGATTAAAAAAGGGCTCAAGTCAGAAAAGTTTAACCTTTCAGATTTTTATTCTATGAATATTTCATAGGAAAAATAAATATTTGTCACTGAAGCACCTCTAACCTAAATATTCAGAGCGGTTTTCAACAATAAGGTTAAAATTAAATCAGCAAATGGACAACCTGTTGTAGGAGCTCTGAATTACTTTACATTAGAAAACAGCGCCACCTACTGTTTAAAACCAAAACCTAATCACAAATTTGCAGGAGACGTGTGCACAGAAATCACCAGCTAACAAGTTGTGTATTCTTATTTCCAATTTTTATTTTTTGCCTCAACTCCAAAATGTGAAGGATGTATACAGGTCATTACTTTTATATTCATTTGATCTTGAACATATGCTTCTAAAAGTGTTGCCAAAAGAGACATGTTGCTATAAAATACTTGTAATAATAAGGCAATAAATATTATATACATGCTTACAGCCAGGAAAATAGGATGTTTGGTCTTGCCTTCTTGAAAAAAGATAAAGTAGCTCTGCTTTAGTTAATGATTTTAATATTCAAAGCTGTGGCACATAATATTATGGTCTTGTCTTTGAGAGGTGTTTTTATTCTATTTGGATTACTGACTTATATTGTGTCTACATTATCAAATTAGATGAGAATATGTCAATATTTGTCTAGTTATCTCACACTCCTTATCATGCCAGATTGTGTGATAAGCAACGTCTGTGAAACTTAAAGCTGCTCCCCGTAAAGCTTCATGTGTGAGCTGGAGCATAAAAATACCAAGAATAAACTCCTAATGCTCGAATGGTTGCTCTCCAGAACTGACCATCTGTGACGGCAGCGTACGGGACTCCCAGACGATCTGCAATCTTCTGCTGGACCCTGTTCATCTCCGGGCCCTGTTGGAACTTGTCTAGCTCCGTCAGTGCCGATGGGTTGTTTTCTACTTCCTGCACAAACCTGGTGCACTGATCAAAGAACCTCATGAGGGCATCGTTCTCTGCGTGGTCAAACTCCACATCTGCATGGACGATAAGGCACAGGTTGCACTGATACCGTGTCTTGCGGTTAAACAGCAATATGTTGCACAACTGCAGTTCTGAAAAAGTTGGTACGTCATCTAAAACGTAAATATAAATCCCATAAACTCATGATTTATTCACAATGGAACATAGTAAACATACCAAATGTTTAAAGAAATTATGCTTAAAGATATGGTCGTTTTAATTTTGATGGCAGCAAAACATTGAAAAAAAGTTGTGGAATGGGCAACAAAAAGCTGTAAAAGTAAGTGTTATGAAGAGCAAACAGTAAAAGGGGAATTTTGTAATGTTAACTGGCAACGGGTTAGTAATGGCCTTTATGCATTGTAAGGCCCGGCCTGGCCTACACTAGCCTGACCCGGGTTCCACCCCAGGTTTTAAGTGTTGGCATTGAGCAGTCTGGCCCAGTTCCAGTTCAATGTTTGGACATTGCTTGGTGTGGCTTGACTGGGGGAGGGTCACGTCACAAATAAGTCATAATTCCAGTGACTGCACCTTACCGCTATTTCCTTCAGCTACTTGCTTCAGGCTGGTTGTGTGATAGAAATTTGTCTTGAGAAAAAATTGGCAACGCAAAAGATGGACAAACAACAAGGTGCAGTAATTGCTGAGCTGAGATTCGTGTGGTCTTGCTATAACGATCCCGCCCACATTGAGGCGACACTGCTGAAAGCAAACAAAACCAAAGCTGGGGAAGACTTGAGCTTGGACGACTGGGGTCGGTCCAGACCGGATCGGGATTGACAATGCATAAGAGGAATAAGCGACCTGCAAAGCAGCATGGCTCTATCAGAAGTAAAGATGGGCAGAGGTTCACCAGTCTGTGAAAAACTGTGCCTAAAATTAATGGAACAATTTCAGAATAATGTTCCTCAAGTGAAAATTGGAAAGACTTTAAATATCCCATCACCTACAGTTTATAATATCAAAAAGTTTCAAGAATATGGAGAAATCTCTCGAGCTCAAAGGGCAAAGCTGATAGTCGATATTGGGGCCTGCATTCTTCAGGCTCTCAGGGGCCACTGCATTAAAAACAGGCCTGATTCAGTCTTGGACATCACAGCACGAGTCCATGAACACTTCCACACAAATCAATGTCTGTAAGCAAAGCTTACCGTCATCCACAAATGCTACTTGAAGCTCTTCTTTGAGATGAACTGAGGCGAAGAATAAAACTGCTGTGTGGTCAGATGGCCCAAATTTGAAATTCTTTCTGGAAACTATTTTGCCATATCCTCCATATTGAAATATAGAGGGAACATTTCACATGTTATTGAGGCTCAGGTCAATTACCAGCCTCTCTGATGATATGGGGGTGTATTAGTGACACAGGCAGCTTGCACATGGCAGAAAAGTACGTACAGGTTTTAAAACAGCAGCACTGAGGCACAGTTGGTAAAGCTGCCGCTTCTCAGGCCTTTCTGGGTAGAGTTTGCATGTTATCTCCATGCATGCATGGGTTTTCGTTGGGTACTCCGGTTTCCTCCCACAGACCAAAAACATGCATGTTAGGCTGATTGGTAACTCTAAATTGCTATTAGGTGTGAGTGAGAGAGTGAATGGTTGTTTGTCTCGTTTGTCTCTATGAGTCCCTGTGATGGACTTGCGACCTGTCCAGGGTGTCCCCTGCCTCTTGCACATTGATGGCTGGACATTGGCACCAGTGACCCAAAAAGGAAGAAGCAGGTAAAGCAGTGGTGTAGTCTATACGATACGCAAGTATACAGAGTATAACCATTAGAAAAGCTTGGGAATTTCAGTATTCAACAGTACCCAATGATATGCGACATATCACTGGGCATGTGCCATGCTCAACACATCTGGAACATTTTATAGACACATTGAGTTGGTTTAACCTGTTTTTTTGTATAATTAATATTTCTGTACTTACTATTAATACTTGAATATGTTTTGCTTTGATACCGTTTTATAAATTCTATAACATGTTTTTTTTAATACAAAGCCAACTGTTGCACAAATGTTGTTGTACATATATGCAAATATAAGCATCAGAGAAGTTTGGAAATGTTCAATATTCTCAAAAATCTAAATAAATTGACAATTACATTGTACTAACTGGTGTCCTTAGGTTTCTAGTCAAGTCCCATTTATTTATATAGCACATTTAAAACAGTAACTGTTATCAAAGTGCTTACCAAAAAAAGATCACAGCATCAAATATTAATAACAACATATTACAGCAACATGAATAAAAGCATAAAAACATGAACTATAATGAGAAACAATTAAATACTAAATCAAATCACCCTGCGTTAAATGTCAGGGAGTAAAAGCAAAATGGATGAACACAATCATCAACAACGAAATACCAAATGAGATCACACTGTGTTAAATGCCAATGAGTACAGATGTGTTTTGAGGAGAGATTTAAAAGTAGAGACTGAGGTGGCCTGTCGAATGTTGATGGGCAGATTGTTCCAGAGTTTAGGGCCCATGACTGAAAACGCCCGATCTCCTCGAAACGAGCTTCAGACTGGTTTTTGGTACGGCCAAAAGCAGCTGGTCTGATGATCTCAAGACCCGAGAAGGAGTATAAGGATGAAGGAGGTCGGAGAGGTATGAGGGTGCAAGGCCATTAACACACTTAAATGTCAGCAGAAGAATCTTAAAATCAACTCTGACATGCACAGGAAGCCAGTGAAGAGAGGACAGAACTGGAGTAATGTGCTCAAACCTGGGAGTTCCTGTAAGTAGCCGAGCTGCAGCATTTTGGACAAGCTGGAGACGTGAGAGAGACCTGACTGACCCCAGCATAAAGCGAGTTACAGTAGTCCAGCCGGGTTGTAATAAATGCATGGACTAATTTTTCAAGGTCGGATCTGGACAGCATGGACTTGAGATTAGCTATATGCCTTAGCTGAAAGAAGCTTTTTTGAAGAACAAAATTTATCTGCTTATTAAACTTAAAGTCCGAGTCTAAAACTATCCCGAGTTTGGTAACAGACTGTTTTAGATATGGCTGAAGGGAGTCCAGGTTTGCAGGATCTAAGCACAGTATACCCAATACAAAAATGTCGACTACATCACTGGGGTAGAGAACAAAGGAACAAAAGAAAGAACAAAAGAACAAACAAACAAACAAAAAGAAAGAAAGAACGAAAGAAGAAATGAAAAACGAAAGAACAAAAAGGAGGAAAGAACGAAATGAAAGAACGAAATGAAAGAAAAACAAAAGAACGAAAAACGAAAGAACGAAAGAACAAAAAAAAAGAACGAAAGAACAAAAATCAAAAGAACAAAAGAACGAAGAACAAAAGAACGAAGAACAAAAAACGAAAGAACAAAAGAACAAAAAATAAAAGAACGAAAGAACGAAAGAACAAAAACAAAAGAACGAAAGAACAAAAGAACGAAAGAACAAAAGAACGAAGAACAAAAGAACGAAGAACAAAGAGCAAAGAACGAAAGAACAAAAGAACAAAAAATAAAAGAACGAAAGAACGAAAGAACAAAAGAACGAAAGAAGAACGAAAGAACAAAAAATAAAAGAACGAAAGAACGAAAGAACAAAAGAACGAAAGAACAAAAAACGAAAGAAGAACGAAAGAACAAAAAATGAAAGAACGAAATAACAAAAGAACAAAAAACGAAAGAACGAAAGAAC